ACGCTTATTTTGCCAGTTGGCCAGCAAAAAGTCAGAACTGGAGGTATGGCTCACATGGTAGAACGCCTGGCATAGCACACGCAAAGACTTGAGTTCAAGGCCTAGAAGATACAGACATAGAAAAGAAGAAGGAAAGTAGTATGCTGAGCATTAAAATATGCTAAAATGGTTTAAAATCATAATAGATCTCAATTCAATTTTAGTTTGTGGCATCCGGAGACTTGACAAAAGGCTGGTGAGGTGGGACCAGGGGATGTGACACAAGAAGATCAGGAGCTGTGGAAACTCACCATAAACCCCATGGTACAGTACGAAAAAGTAGAAAGGAGAGGCGGGGGGCCGTCTGGGGTGAGGCAGGGAAACGGAGGCTCCAGGCACAGGGCATCAGCCCTGCTCTGAGGCCGGGCGGGGCATCTCCGGCCCAGGTCAGGCATCTGTGGCAGTCAGACAGAGGCTGGCGGAAAGTATATGGCTTACTCCAGAGCCGGCGCTCAGCCCAGGCACGGTGAACGGTAAAGTCCACAGAAACAGATGCTATCGTAAGCAACCTCTAATCAGGGAGCGATTCTCCTTCAGATAGGATCTCCTTGCAGCAGTTCATGTGTAATGTAAATACGACTCCATCCAGCTTTGTCTGTATCTCTGAGGTTTTTTATGTGATGCTAACACTTATATCCCTATTTAAAAGGTAGTTGTGAATTAGACAGACAGATGATTGATAGACAATTTCATTTAAAAAACAAACACTGGAGAAAGACTTCTCTATGAATAACTTAAAAAGTATTTTTAGCATTCATCTAACTATCCTTCAACTAGAGTGATTTAAAAATCCCTAAAACCCCAGGAGTAATTTTAAAAAACTACTAGAGCAATCTTTAAACCCCCACATTACTACAAACCCTTGAACTAGAGCAATTTAAAAGTCTCGTCCACTGGAGAGGTGGAAATCTACAAAACTGAAATATCCCTACCTGTCCAATGAGGAGAACACGCTCCGCTAGAAAATCATCACTTTCCCAGCTCCATCGGGGACCGCGCTTCCAGGTGCTCCGGTGACCTGCGTTCTGAGGGAGAGGTGCACGGCAGGCTGTGCGGGGCAGAGCGCGGGGCAGAGCGCGGGATGGGGTCGCACCTGGGAGCACTGGCCATGCCCAGAGGCCCCGGGGAAAACAGCACTCTAGTGGCCCAGGCCGAAGGGCGCCTCCCCCTGCACCCCCAGTGAGGGCTGGACACAGCTGTCCCTAGTCTGGAGCGTGAGCAGAGCAGGGCACAAACCACCATTCATGTCCTTGGACCTTTGTTCCTAGGAACACAAGTCCTACATCACTGGAGACAAGCAAGGCCTGTCCTACATCGCTGGAGACAAGCAAGGCCTGTCCTACGTCGCTGGAGACAAGCAACTCCTGTCCTACGTCGCTGGAGACAAGCAAGGCCTGTCCTACGTCGCTGGAGACAAGCAAGACCTGCCTGTGGGGCCAGCCACGTCTGGATGGGAGACAGGAGGCCTGCTGGGGGGCCAGCATGAACTGAGCAGCATCTGCCTGATCCTTGTCCCTGCCAGGTGGGAAGTCCACTAGCCCACATCACTGGGAGGGAGGCAGAGGGTAAGAAAACTTACAGACTGAGAGCTCATCGGGGTGACCAGGCTGGGGTGACCCTGCCCAGGCCTTCCAACTGAAGTGTGGGCTACATTCAGAGCCGTGCTGGTCCCTCTGGGGACAAGCACACTGATCATCTCTTTATACCAAGTGTCCAGGGAAAGCCAAGGCTGCAGGCGGAGTCCTAACACTCAGTTCCCAGCCAGAGCCGGGGGGCCAGGGCAGCTCAGCTCCAGGGCCTGAAGCCCGTGATGCTCAGTAACCATGGCAACCACAGAACCACAGCCATGCTAGGTTCCTGCCCCATTCAGAGTAACAGGCTTACAGAGGAGAAGTGTCCGGCCTTGAGGTGGACAGTGTCAGGAATGGTCTCCACCGCTCCGCCCCTGCTGCCTGCCTTTTACAGACAAGCAGGGAATAACAGTCCTAGGCACAGAAACAGTAACACGCAGAGCCAAACTCACAGTCTGCACATCGAACACAGAAATGCCCAAATAACTGTGAAAAGTCTACGCAAGAATCCAGGGGAGCAGAGGGCTGATGTGCCTGCAGGGGCTGGCCAATTACCTCAGAGATGGTAGCAGTAAGAAAAAGCCAAGTGGAAAAGTGGAGGGAGAAATTATGTCATGAGCTCACCACTGGCAGAATGGACCCGTTTTGGAAAGACGGAAGACATACGAAAAAGAAATTAAAATGATGACCGGCAAATACAAAGAAAGCAAACACAGAATTGGACCTATAAGAACTGAGAAGCGATATCAAATACTCCAACATACATGCAGCTGGACTCTCAGGAAAATCAGGGGGAAAATGCGTAAAATACATACTTTGAACATGTCTTTTCCCCCTTGGAACAGCATTTTGCTGTGTAGATGAAGCTAGCTTACACCTCATCACGAGGCCCAGGCTGGCCTTGAACTCATAATTCTCAGCCTCCACAATGCTCAAGTTACAGGCATATGCCCCCATCTGAAAACATTTTTATAACTAATTTTAAAATGTCAAACAATAGATACGAAGAACATCAGAAAACCCAAACCAGGATATCTGACAGATACACATGTACACACACATATACACACAAACACACAAATACCACACTCACATACCTACACATACACACACACTCATGAGCAGCCCTGGCACCTCACAGTCAGAGAAGAATAGAAGCCAGAAATAGAGAAAAGCGCGGAGGTGAGCAGGACACGGGCCGTGGTGCCATCGCTGTGGGAAGTGAGAATGTCGGTGGAAGGTGACTCCTGCCAGGAGGAAGAGCACCGGCCGCACTTGCAGGTGGAAAGCGGAAGGTGCCGAGCTGCAGGGTGGGGGAGCCGTCTCCGCTCAGGCCCCCGGCCTTGGGATCTGCATGCATGCGCAGCTGCTCAGCTCCTCACACACTGCAGGGCCAGCTGAGGAGTACCCGGGCGGAGGAGCTGAGGAGTGACGGCCCCTTAGCTACAGCCGGGCGGAGGAGCTCCTGGAAAGAACTCGCCTCCGTGCTCAGCCACACCTGCTTGTGTCCACCAGGTGCTCCCAAGGACCCAGCCTGCCCACAGAAGGCTGGCGCAGGGCCGCCAAGGGTAGGGGACCGTGTGGGTCATGGACAGTTGTTCTCACTCTTACTTCACAAGTGTGTGTTTTAGTGAAACAGGAATTCAGCTCTTTGCAGATTGGCAGTTCATATTTCAAGATGCCCTAATAAGTAGCTGGATTAAACATACTAAAAACTCCTTTGGCAGCTTAAACCCGCAGTTCTCACTCGATGTGGTACAGGTTGTAGGGAGGTGACTTGTACTATTTCAATATCTTTTTTTTTGGGTCTGGTCGTGGGGCCTGAACTCTGGGCCTGGGCGCTGTCCCTCAGCTCTTCAGCTCAAGGCTAGCGCTCTACCACTTGAGCCACAGCACCACTTCCGGCTTTTTTCTTTTTGCTTATGTGGTGCTGAGGAATCGAACCCAGGGCCTCAGGCATGCAAGGCAAGTGCTTTACCACTGAGCCACCTTCCCAGCCCTTGAATATCTATTTTGAAACCTAGCGCACACAGAGCAGAGGCCTGGCTTCCTCCAGTTAATCGAGAGGCAGGGACGATTAAAGGAGGGTTAGTGCCAAGGAACCACAACAGCAGCAAAGCCAGCGCTCTGCGCGGATGAACAAAATCTAAATGTAACAAGCAATTATACACCTCCTTGCGCTCCCAAACCATGCCGGGGCTCCTCAGAGTTCACTTCCATGTTCCTTACTGAAATGTTTCTCTCTTCGAGGGAAGTATATTGATTAGCAATAAAGCGTAATGTCGACAATGCGACTGATGAGGCTGAAGCTCAGCTGAGTAAGAGATAAATGTGCCCAATCACCAGCATCCACACTGCGCCTCTCTCCATGAAGAGCAAGTGAAAAGCCACAGCGGCAAAACCACGTTGACAGGGTTAGCACTGCCCGAAGTTTGAATGAATCTGTGTACGCTGCCACACATGAGGTTTATGTTCTGCTAACATTCACAAAACGTGTCAAGGAAGCAGAGGTTTCCATCTGTGTGCGTGGCCCCACTGCCCGCTGCCACGAAGATAATCCCTCTCCCATGAACTGGAATGGACCTGCCCCCATGCTGGCAGTGAGCGGGAGTCTCACTGCAACGGGAGAGGCCCCTTCACCGAGTCTCTGCGTCTGCTTTTTTATCAGCGGCTGGAAATCTGGCCTTTCAGAGCAAGCCTACATTACATCCCGCAGTGTTTATTATCTCAATTCACAGTGTCACCTCTTACGGCCGATCCACGCATCTGCTCATTTGCAACTGCTCATTAGAGGCTCTGAATGGTGGCACGCAGCCGTTTGGTGCTGGCAAACATGTCCAAATCAGCTTACAAGGGTTACCTGCGTAGCCTAACACCAAGATGTGTGCATTTGACTTGTGTCCTCCCATTTATCAGACTATTAACTCAGTCTCACAACCAGTTTTAAAAGGTTACAGTCCCCTCTGCAGAGCCTTCTTCTAATTAAGATGAGGCACACACACGCGTGGCCGGGGAGAGGCCGCGTTGGGTGAGCTCTTACTTCCTAAGACAAGAAATGGAAACAAGGTTTATGTAACCTAGATGGATATTACGAATTTTCTGTTTCTGGACGCTAATAAGAATATTGTTCCTCATCCCTGAGAAAGTGGCAGTATGACAAATGGCCAGCTTCTGTGTTTATTTTTAACACCCAAAGCCTGCAATTACAGCCGCTGTTTTGTTTAATTATTTGAGATAATAACTTCTACCTCCTCATTCATTTGTGAAGTTTAACACCGCCTCATTAATCTGTGAGATTTCACCCCTACAAAGAGCACACCTTCACGGTTCCTTTAAGAAAATGGCTGAGCACAGCAGCGGGGAGGGGGGGAGCAGCCATGGGGGCCTTACTTTTGTATTCCAGATGGAAGCCGGCAGCGGCCACACTGATGTCGGACTGGAAGTGCAGGTAGAGCTGGTTGGACGTGCTGTTCAGCAGCGCTGGCACTGTGGTTCCTGGGGGACAAGCACAAGGTGGGGCCTCAGACACAGACACCAACCCGCCCGGCCAGACTCGCTGCCTGTCTGGCCATCTCATGTTTCATCTGGCTACTCCAGCCAGCTACTCCACAACCCCCACCGGCCTCCCCCTACCCCCGTGATATAACACTCGCACGGGGTCTCTTCTGCCACCCTCGGGGTCAGAGGACGGGACCTCCCTGGCTCTTCCTCGCTTTATCCATGCGTTCTGTGGACACAACTTGTGAGTTTTACTTCTAGATACAGGTGCACGACACATTGTGCAGTTCAAAGTGAACAGACACAGTGCCCTCTGCGTATTCATTCTGAGAGCTGGGGATCGTATCCTTCATTCTCGGGGTTCACTGCCATGCCCCAGGTCCGAAAAGAGTCAAACGTGGGGCCTCTGCTCCACGCTCGCTCACCCCAGGCTCTGGGGCCCCCGTGGCTGTGTGGTAGCGGAATTGGAAAGCCCACGTCCAACCAGGCCCTGAGGCCTGCACGTTTCTTCGGACATAGCCACACGCAGTGGCGTGAGTGGCTGTGGGTTTTGGCACCCAGATACCACGTAGCACCCAGAGGGCCGTCAGCCAGGGATGGGGGGAGCAGGGCTCATGGCTGGCAGACATGCCGAGGGACTGCTGAGGTCCCCCACCGTGGGGTGTGCTTCCGGCGATCCTCGGCACGGATCACATACAAAATGCAACCGAGCAGTTTTTAAAAAATGCTGCTAAGGCAGAACATTTCCGATCCCACTGTGTTACTGTGACCTAGATAGCAGGACACACAACAGCGGGGAGAGGGATTTTATCGCTGTCCCCGCAGACTCGGCTCCCCACTTCCCTTTAATACCGACTGTCAGCTACAAATTCATATGCACGCCTCTGTATTTCATTCATTTATAATGTATAACCTGCCTGCTCCAAAACTGATTTCTAATCGCTCACACAAAAGACCTACATATGCCTGTCCCAGTAGAAATGAAAAATCAAAACTGGATTTATTTGAGATGTCAATCTAGCTGCCAGTGATGTGAACCTCTTATGACGACTCATTCTTGTTCTTACTTTATAACTTTTAAAATGGGTTTAATATCTCCTCTATAAATATTGTTGGGTAACATGGGAGTAAAAACATTTAAATATTGATTATGTTCCAAATCATTCAAACTTTTCTGCTGATTTGTTATTTCCATAAAATGTACTTTTTTAAAATCTCATGGTGACAGAACTACACCACACTGTCTCCATTGTGACCGCCAGACCTGTACCACATTGTCTCCAGGGTGTCAGAACTACACCACACTGTCTCCAGGGTGACCATCAGACCTGCACCACACTGTCTCCAGGGTGACCATCAGACCTGCACCACACTGTCTCCAGGGTGACCATCAGACCTGCACCACACTGTCTCCAGGGTGACAGAACTACACCACACTGTCTCCAGGATGACAGAACTACACCACACTGTCTCCATGGTGACAGAACTACACCACACTGTCTCCAGGGTGACCATCAGACCTGTACCACACTGTCTCCAGGGTGACAGAACTACACCACACTGTCTCCAGGGTGACAGAACTACACCACACTGTCTCCAGGATGACAGAACTACACCACACTGTCTCCATGGTGACAGAACTACACCACACTGTCTCCATGGTGACAGAACTACACCACACTGTCTCCAGGGTGACCGTCAGACCTGTACCACACTGTCTCCAGGGTGACAGAACTATACCACACTGTCTCCAGGGTGACAGAACTACACCACACTGTCTCCAGGGTGACAGAACTATACCACACTGTCTCCATGGTGACAGAACTACAGCACACTGTCTCCAGGGTGACAGAACTACACCACACTGTCTCCATGGTGACAGAACTACACCACACTGTCTCCATGGTGACCATCAGACGTGCACCACACTGTCTCCAGGGTGACAGAACTACACTACACTGTCTCCAGGGTGACAGAACTACACCACACTGTCTCCAGGGTGACAGAACTACACCACACTGTCTCCAGGGTGACAGAACTACACCACACTGTCTCCAGGGTGACAGAACTACACCACACTGTCTCCAGGGTGACAGAACTACACCACACTGTCTCCAGGGTGACAGAACTACACCACACTGTCTCCAGAGTGACAGAACTACACCACACTGTCTCCAGGGTGACCGTCAGACCTGTACCACACTGTCTCCAGGGTGACAGAACTACACCACACTGTCTCCATGGTGACCATCAGACGTGCACCACACTGTCTCCAGGGTGACAGAACTACACTACACTGTTTTCAGGGTGACAGAACTACACCACACTGTCTCCAGGGTGACAGAACTACACCACACTGTCTCCAGGGTGACAGAACTACACCACACTGTCTTCAGGGTGACAGAACTACACCACACTGTCTCCAGGGTGACAGAACTACACCACACTGTCTCCAGAGTGACAGAACTACACCACACTGTCTCCAGGGTGACCGTCAGACCTGTACCACACTGTCTCCAGGGTGACAGAACTATACCACACTGTCTCCAGGGTGACAGAACTACACCACACTATCTCCAGGGTGACAGAACTACACCACACTGTCTCCAGGGTGACCATCAGACCTGCACCACACTGTCTCCAGGGTGACCATCAGACCTGCACCACACTGTCTCCATGGTGACAGAACTACACCACACTGTCTCCAGGGTGACAGAACTATACCACACTGTCTCCAGGGTGACAGAACTACACCACACTGTCTCCAGGGTGACAGAACTACACCACACTGTCTCCAGGGTGACAGAACTACACCACACTGTCTCCAGGGTGACAGAACTACACCACACTGTCTCCAGGGTGACAGAACTACACCACACTGTCTCCAGAGTGACAGAACTACACCACACTGTCTCCAGGGTGACCGTCAGACCTGTACCACACTGTCTCCAGGGTGACAGAACTACACCACACTGTCTCCATGGTGACCATCAGACGTGCACCACACTGTCTCCAGGGTGACAGAACTACACTACACTGTTTTCAGGGTGACAGAACTACACCACACTGTCTCCAGGGTGACAGAACTACACCACACTGTCTCCAGGGTGACAGAACTACACCACACTGTCTTCAGGGTGACAGAACTACACCACACTGTCTCCAGGGTGACAGAACTACACCACACTGTCTCCAGAGTGACAGAACTACACCACACTGTCTCCAGGGTGACCGTCAGACCTGTACCACACTGTCTCCAGGGTGACAGAACTATACCACACTGTCTCCAGGGTGACAGAACTACACCACACTATCTCCAGGGTGACAGAACTACACCACACTGTCTCCAGGGTGACCATCAGACCTGCACCACACTGTCTCCAGGGTGACCATCAGACCTGCACCACACTGTCTCCATGGTGACAGAACTACACCACACTGTCTCCAGGGTGACAGAACTATACCACACTGTCTCCAGGGTGACAGAACTACAGCACACTGTCTCCAGGGTGACAGAACTACAGCACACTGTCTCCAGGGTGACAGAACTACAGCACACTGTCTCCATGGTGACAGAACTACACCACACTGTCTCCATGGTGACCATCAGACCTGCACCACACTGTCTTCAGGATGACAGAACTACACCACACTGTCTTCAGGGTGACAGAACTACACCACACTGTCTCCAGGGTGACAGAACTACACCACACTGTTTCCAGGGTGACAGAACTACACCACACTGTCTCCAGGGTGACCATCAGACCTGCACCACACTGTCTCCAGGGTGACAGAACTACACTACACTGTCTCCAGGGTGACCGTCAGACCTGTACCACACTGTCTCCAGGGTGACAGAACTACACCACACTGTCTCCATGGTAACAGAACTACACCACACTGTCTCCATGGTGACCATCAGACGTGCACCACACTGTCTCCAGGGTGACAGAACTACACTACACTGTCTCCAGGGTGACAGAACTACACCACACTGTCTCCAGGGTGACAGAACTACACCACACTGTCTTCAGGGTGACAGAACTACACCACACTGTCTCCAGGGTGACAGAACTACACCACACTGTCTTCAGGGTGACAGACCTGCACCACACTGTCTCCAGGGTGACAGAACTACACCACACTGTCTTCAGGGTGATCATCAGAGCTGCTCCACCTACACTGGTATTTATGCCAAGGAAATTTTCTCCTGCCTAACTTCAAAAACACACAAAAGTTTTGTTGCAACTCCGTGTTCCCTGTACGTAGGCAATCTATTCCTGTCACTATATTAAGGCAAAAGGCATTTTCCTGCCTTGGTTAATCAGTCAAGTATCTACCTAATTTTTGCTGTCTACTGCTCTATGCTTGCTATATGGGTACAATATTATGCTAATTATGTTCACTAATTTTCATGCCTGAAAATATTAGGCAGAAAGCTCACTTTAAAATACATTCTTTTAAAAGATCAACACATGACACACAAATTAGAAAAATAGCTTCACATATCTGAAGCTTATGGTACAACATTATTCAAGAGAAGGGTCCATAGGAAGAAGTTATTTATAAGTTTTATGTGTGTGTGTGTGTGTGTGTGTATGTGTGTCCATTATATGATTTGGTCTACAGATAAAAAGCATATGCAAGTAGGTTTTACCAAGATATTATTCTGAAGGTATAATGCAAATGATAGAAGTTGTGTGTGACACAAACGTTAAATATTTATATATGTATACGTATGCACACACATCCACAAAACTTAAATGTGTAGAAAGTTGATTAACTCATACATACAAGAATGAGCAGGACAATTATAAGCCTGAGTGTAGAGTAGGGATAGATGTGAGCTTAGACATGCACAGTTCCATTATCTCAGGCTTTTCTTGCCTGTCTGTCTGTCTCTCTATCTCTCTTTCTCTCTTCCTCATCCGGTAACTATGTCCATAGCATCAGCCAATGTTCTACTACTACTACTACTACTACCACTACAATTTTTTTGCTCCATTGACACTGGAACACATCCTATAGTGTTGCCTCTAAACCATACATACCAGATAGAATTAGGTTATAGTCTGGCTCCTGCAGATAGATCGTAATTCATGATGTGACTCTTGTTTGTAACAACAGATGCCTATCTTTTATGCCCAACATGAACAAAACATATGTAGTAGAGCCTTTTGAGATGCCATTGTGAGGGGAGACTCCTGTCTGGGGAGAGAGCGAAGCCACAGACTGTACAGGAAGAGACGTTAAAGATCAAGAGGAAGCCTGGACTGTCACTGCGTCCACGCCCCGTGACTAGCCTCGTGGTCAGCCCCCAGACCGTCTCCGGGGGGGCCAAGCCTCTGGCACTGAGAGGCTCTGGAATATGGAACGGCCCTGCTTCTCCGCTGAGCCAAGACTCGACACCCACAAAACACGAGAGGGGCAGAGACTCTGTAGGAAAACGGAGTGTTGGCTACTGCTCGGTTTGCTTTCTGACTGCAGTTCAAGCCGCAGGGGCGTGGCGTCAAGGTCACCGTACCTGAGAAGCTCCCGAGTCTGGGGGCCGTGGCATCTCCGCCGTCATGGATTTCAAGCGAGTCCCAGTTCTGCTCTGTGGCAAAGCTGATCACCTGAATCTAGCAAAGCAAATCGTTAGGCAAAGATTAACATTGAGAACAGCTGAGCTAATTAGAAGTGGTTCTTCACGATTAAGGAAAACTTATCAAAAAAAAAGATAATAATGCACAAAAGGGTATACAAAAATCTCTGTGGGTGACACTTTGGATAGTTTAGATTATAAAAATAAATCATTTTATGATAGATACAGAAATATGTTTAGAAACATTTTACAAAAGTACTAAAGATAAACAGATTATGGTCTGTTATTTTAAAAACTAACCAATACAGAGGAAAAAGGAAAGGAGCAGGGAGGGAGGAAGGAAAGAGAGAAGAGGATGGAAAGGAATGAAGAAGGAGTGAAAGAAATAAGAAGAAAAGAAAGATGAAAGGTGGGAAGATAAGAGAGAGAGGAGGGAGGGAGGGAGGGAAGGGAGGGAGGGAGGGAAGGGAGGAGGGAGGGAAGGACAGAGAAGCAGCACAGGCTACGTCCTGCCTGTGGACTCGGGCTGGAGACCGTACCTGGATTCCAGAGCCCTCTGTAACAATGATCTTCCACACACAGTTCAGGTTGTTTCCATATGGCTCAGGATAGCCCGGGGACAGGATGGTGCCTCTTCGCTGAGTGAAATTACCACTGCAGGGAACTGACAGGCAGGGCTTTGTCTTCAATAAGCGCTTAATAAGTGATATGCTTATTTAATAAAGATAAATTGCAGTGGCAACAGTATTAATTTTGTCTCTCTCCCTGTGCCATTGTAGGAAACACTGTCCCTGCTTTGAGATATCTTAAATGGATTTTTTAGCCAAGGTGTAGTTTAGTCTTTTCTAATTTAATAATATCAATTATTATCTACCCATTAAACTACTATTTATAGATGTTGAGTCTCTAAAGAAGTCTCTTTAGGGGCTGGGAAGGTGGCTCAGGGGTAGAGCCTTGTATGCATGAGGCCCTGGGTTCGATTCCTTAGCACCACAAAAGCAGAAAAAGCCAGACGTGGCACTGTGGCTCAAGTGGTAGAGAGCTAGCCTTAGAGCTGAAGAGCTGAGGGACAGCGCCCAGGCTGAGTTCAGGCCCCACGACTGACAAAAAATAAAAAGAAGTTTCTTGAGAGTTTCTAAGAAGGCACTGGACCAGCCTCGGTGTCTAGAGTCACTGTCTGCTTTAGTCTGAGCCCATTGTAGACATTCTCTCCTCTTGGCGGACACGCAACTCCCAACAACATTCACGGGATTTATGAGCAAATTCAGAGACACTTAAAATGTACAGATGGATTCAAGTGCCAATCATGATTGCACCAGAGCACTCTGTGCAAAAAGAAGCAAATAAACCACAGCTAATCTGGCTACATTAACCTATTGCTTTCGGCACATTCATCGGCACAAATGCATTAAGAGGGCATGATGCAAGTAATATCCTACATCAAAATTGTAATTGTTTGTCCAGAATAAAATTATGTGATACACTGTGACTTCGGACTTGATGGTATACATACTGAAAAAGGAAGCGTGCTTGTCCTTACTAGCCTGCTGAGTTGTTTAATGAAATGGCACTTTAAGGGTTGGCTCCTATCTGTTCTTTGTGTCTTAGAGAGCCACACTGCAGTGTCCCCGCCCTGGGCCACGGCATGGGCCACTTACCCACGCAGCTCGGGATGGTGTCATTCCACTGGGCCAGCGCGTTGGGCACAGACTGGCAGCGGATGGCTGTGGAGCCCTGGAGCAGGTACCCTGGGTTGCACTCAAACCTCACGATTGAACCTGCTGAGAACTCGGAGCCGATCCTCCTGCCGTACCGGGGCTCGGGGACAGAGCTGCACTGCGTGTCGCTGGTACGAGGAACAGCTGGGGGCAAAACAACACGGCCATCGGTGTCCACCGGAAGTCACCCATGCCCGCCACACACACGTGTGTCCCCCTCACACATAGCCATGTGTCCCCTAAACACGTGCTCCATGTTTCCCTCACACACGTGTCCCACACACACTCCAAGGTGCCCTGGAGCCTGGTCTGAGTCTGACAATGGTGGCGACCGGTTAGAAACCAGCATCTCTAACGTGGCCTGGGGTTGGTATGCAGGGAGTTCAGGTCTGCAGGTCATCTGTGCATCCACCTTGGGCTTGGCCACGGGACAGGAGGAGAATCCATGCTGGGTGATTCTCCATTGATATTCAAGCCACTGGATTAACCAATGCCCAAAAGGTGGTGTGAGTCACAGCATGCTACGGTACACCCTTGCGGTCAAGACCGGCGCCCGGCGGGAAGAGCACTGGCTGAAGGAATGTTTTGTGGCTGTCGCAGTGTGATAACAGACAGAAGAGCAGAATGAGCACGTGACCTGTCTCTCCGTGTTCACTGCCACACTTGTCACTGTAGCTGTTTGGAGGCTAGGGACACACTCACAAAGTTCCTGCCAGCAATGGGTGCACAAGGAGCTTAGCACTTAGGTCCAATCCATTTATACAGCAGATTTTCACTCGACCCTGAGAGAGAAGGAGATCCCGACATTTTCAGCCAGACAGGGAGACCTTTAGTGCCACGCAACATGAGCCAGGTACCAGGGTACACCTCAGGAGGGAATCTAAGGGAGCTGGCTCCTCTGGAGGAGGTACCGGGGCGGGGCTGGCGCGGGACACGGGACAGGCCTCCCAGAGCTCTCGCCTTCCTCTCCCCTCTCTTTTCCAGGCTGTTCATGGTGTTGGTTTACATTCTATAGGGAGCAACACCTAAGTCTGAGATGCTGTGTGTGTACCCTGTGCTCCTGGATGGAAGACACGGACAGGAAGTGTTAATGCTGTGTGAAGTGAGATGCTTGCTCCAGTGGTGCATCAGAACATGCTCTGTCTCTGAAAAGTGGAATGGGGTTCAGTTTGGACAATACTCCATTTGGCAGAGATGCTCGTCATGCCAAACTGTTTGGGAGGAGCCACACCTGTGAAATGTGCGCTCTTTGTTTTGTCTTCCGTTACAGAAGCCAAAGATTATTCTGACCAAACTATGATTGAATTCCGTGTTGAACTATTTTCTCTCAGTGGGCTAAAAGTAACAAAGGTAGATACTGTTACTGTTGAAAATGTTCATGATAGCCCAGACCCACTCACTCATTTCCATACCTAAAAGAGAAATATCACTCTATATAATAACTATAATATTCTGGAGTAAAAATATTGCCTAAAGTCCTTTTGTCCTACTTATATGTCTAAGTATTTTGTTACAGTTGAATGATCATGTGCAGGAAATAAAAACAGACAGCCACTGGATGATCCACAAATGTCTCAAGGATATTGTGCAAAATAAAGCGACTGCTCAATTGCTCGTCTGTGTGCTGGCACTGAATTACTTTGCAATAACCTGAGGACTTTAGTGTGGGCCACCCAGGAGAGCGTGGCTTCCTTCCCCCTAGAAATCAACACAGAAGCCTTACGGTTTTAGTTTTTGTGTCTTTTTTTTTTTTTGCCAGTCTTGGCACTTGAACTAGGGCCTGGGCACTGTCCCTGGGCTTCTTTTGAACTAGGGCCTGGGCACTGTCCCTGGGCTTCTTTTGAACTAGGGCCTGGGCGCTGTCCCTGGGCTTCTTTTGAACTAGGGCCTGGGCACTGTCCCTGGGCTTCTTTTGCTCAAGGCTAGCTCTCTACCACTTGAGCCACAGTGGCACTTGTGGCTTTTTATGTGTATGTGGTCCTGAGGAACGGAACCCAGAACTTCATGCATGCTCGGCAAGCACTCTGCCGCTAAGCCACCTTCCCAGCCCAGTCCTTACGGTTTGCTAACTTTGGTGTGAGTTATTTGAAGGGAGATAAAAAAGGTATTGAGAAATAGATATTTGTGGAAAGGGCAGGCACAAACTAAGAATTTGAAAACAGTAGCACTGACAAGCCACTAGCCTGCATGCTTCACTAGAACACAGTCATGTGACCCAGATGAAGGGTAGAGTGCAAGTGCCAAAATGTGGACTCACGGGACCATGTGGTCAGACATGAGCATTCTGGTACACAGGCCTCCCTGTCATACGCGCTCATCCTGCCCTCTGTGACCTCCCGTCACGCATGCTCATCTGGCACTGCATACTCATTGGGCCACACGTGGCTGTTCTGTCCTACGTGAGCTCCTGGTCACGCTTGGCACCAGTACCCAACCACGGCCCTGTGCAGCCCTCCTGGTGGTACAGGTGGGCGCTCTGGGAAGAGGGCTGCCTGCCCGCGGCTACCCAGGGTGCCAGGGTCCTGGGGCATGTGCACTCCCTTCCCAGTGTTGGGGGGGACGGTGGGGGGGGGGGAGAAGGGGCAAAGACCAAACCAACCAGGCAAATCCCGGGTTAAAGCCATGCTCAGCCACAAAGCTCCAGGAACCTGCATTTCTTTGCAAGTGTTGCAGATGGTAACAATTCCACGGCTGGGGTCTCCAGAGAACCAAGCAGGTGGGTGCAGAGCTAGTGCAGAGACGCAGCCTCCATCCCATACAACATCACAGGTGTGGTGTCTGCCTGCTGAACTGCCACCTCTGCTTCTCATCGCCACCCCTCACAGCGGAGCTCTGTGCCCGTCTGTGCACATGGAAGACGCCACTGGCGGGTCAGGCGTTAAGGACCGAGGGAAGAATGACTATAAGCACACAGGAAAGTGTATTTATAGGATGGGGGCCTGACGAGAACTTCCTTCTCTGAATAACCAGTGCTCAGTTTAACTCCTCGTAGGTACTGAAATCATCCTCTGTTGCTCTTGAGTGAGGTACCAACCCCTCTCGTGATCCTCTCCTGTTATCTCCAGAGGGGTTTTCCATTTGTGAAAAAGATATGCCTTTGTATGAACTTCCTGGCTAGAAGCAAGAGAAGCAGGCACACGGGCCTTACAAAACGTTCAGTGTTAGTCACTATTGATCCTTAAGTACAAGAACAGACTCACACACACACAGACTTTGCAAAGGAATTTGGAATTTACTGAAGATTAGGAGTGGTAAGGGACAGCTTGCTCAACTTGGTTATTCTAACAATGTCAATTTTTTAAAAAATACTAATGTTTATTTTTATGTGTGTGTGCCAGACCTGGGGCTTGAACTCAGGCCTGGGTGCTGAGTTCCAACTGGGATCCTCAAGTCTCAATCTTCTGAGTATTCACATTTAATTTTTACGTGTTAATTATTTACATATTAATAGCCATCGCTGCCACAATGACCATTTTTACTCCCATTCAACCAGCCACGGCTCAGAAGGTGTTAGAGATACTCACCCTCCTGATTGCCAGCATCATTCCATCCTTTCTCCTCTACACCCTTAAATACATCTTGTTGGTGTAAACAGACTCCCCTGACAGGAAAGCTCTGAGGCCGGCCTTTGCAGGGTGAGATGGCTAGAAGCGACTGGTAAGGGATAGAGAGGCTGCTACTGTTCTCATACTGTCACGGTGTTCTCTAGAGAAGCGGTACTTAAGGAAAGAAGCCCCAGCTAAATGCGCTTTCTTTCCAACTGTGATGAACACAGGGGTGGCTGGTGGCCTAGTTAGGCTAAAGCCAAAACTTAGATGAGGAAAGCCTCTGAGCTGCTACTCCTGTGGAGCCTGGCCACCGCTGAGGCCCCTTCCCAGTCTGTCCCGATTCTGTCCCGGGCTCCTCCCTGCTGAACATCTGCACACAGGCTAAGAGGCACTGGTTCAGGCTTGCAGAGCAAATACGCACACAAAAGCAAAACGGAGGAAGGAAAATAGCCTCACTTTCCAATCGGAAGCAACCACAAACGGGTCTTAAATGACATCTAAGTGAAAAGAAATACAACCTAAAAAAACCAACCTATAAAGTTACAAAAGTGCTACAAGGTTATAAAACACAAGCAAACTAAGAGAGGTATTTAGAGTGGTAGATGTGTATGTTTTATCCTGTTCTCTCTCTCTCTCTCTCTTTCTTTCTTTCCCTTCCTTCCTTCCTTCCTTCCTTCCTTCTCTCCTTTCTGAAAAGTGACTTAGTTTCGTAATGAAATGTGGCATTGTGTGGTGTACTTTCAATGTATCTCATTAAAGAAGTTTCTAAGATCTGGGCCCTCATGCAAGGGTGTAATTAGATAAAACACTACGTTTCCCACCACCTTGTGCAGGTGGGCAGAGCTGCACCACGGCTGACATCGCTGGGTAAATGGAAAGTGCAAACAGTGTGGAAAGAAGCTAACAGTTCATGAAATCGTTTCATGATTTATGCACAAAAGCGTGATTTGGGGGGGCTCCCTGTGTGAGGGGGGTCCGCTGGGTGGGGACCCCGCCGGGCCTGGGGGGGCTCCCTGTGTGAGGGGGTCCGCCGGGCCTGGGGGGGCTCCCTGTGTGAGGGGGGTCTGCTGGGTGGGGACCCTGCCGGGCCTCGGGGGGGCTCCCTGTGTGAGGGGGGTCCGCTGGGTGGGGACCCCGCTGGGTCTCGGGGGGGCTCCCTGTGTGAGGGGGTCCGCTGGGTGAGGACCCCGCCGGGCCTCGGGGGGGCTTCCTGTGTGAGGGGGGTCCGCTGGGTGGGGACCCCGCCGGGCCTCGGGGGGGCTCCCTGTGTGAGGGGGGGTCCGCTGGGTGGAGACCCCGCCGGGCCTCAGGGGGGCTCCCTGTGTGAGGGGGGGTCCGCTGGGTGGGGACCCCGCCGGGCCTCAGGGGGGGCTTCCTGTGTGAGGGGGGTGTCCACTGGGGGGGACCCCGCTGGGCCTCGGGGGGGGCTTCCTGTGTGAAGGGGGGTCCGCTGGGTGGGGACCCCGCCGGGCCTCAGGGGGGCTCCCTGTGTGAGGGGGGTCCGCTGGGTGGGGACCCCGCCGGGCCTCGGGGGGGGGGCTCCCTGTGTGAGGGGGGGTCCGCTGGGTGGGGACCCCGCCGGGCCTCAGGGGGGCTCCCTGTGTGAGGGGGGGTCCGCTGGGTGGGGACCCCGCCGGGCCTCAGGGGGGCTCCCTGTGTGAGGGGGGGTCCGCTGGGTGGGGACCCCGCCGGGCCTCAGGGGGGGCTTCCTGTGTGAAGGGGGGTCCGCTGGGTGGGGATCCCGCCGGGCCTGGGGGGAGGCTCCCTGTGTGAGGAGGGGGGTCCGCTGGGTGGGAAGCTGGCCGGAGGTCCCACCAGGCCTTACCCTGGTACACAAAGTGGAAGCCGCGGGCCGACGCTCCACTCTTGGCGCTGAATCGAAGCAGAATCTGGTTGGACGTGGCCAGAGGCAGGGTCTCACCTGAAGTAACAACAGACCACAGGTGAGACCGAGAGACCGAGCCCACACGCAGTGCCCTGCAATTTAAATATTATGTTGAAATCTCACAAAGAACGCTTTAAACGTCAGAAACAAAAGACCACGCCATGCCATCGGGGCCCAAAGAGAATCTTTTAAGAGTATGACCTGATTCTGGCTGTGCACTCTGCTAAATGCCTTGTGATGGTCATTTCACCTCATTTGCACTTTGTTTTGACACATACACCAACAGCCCTTTCGGCTGAATAGGGGAGATGTAAGTATCAGATGAGTTATTTATAACCAATCACCTTCACCTGATCGTGACTTGCTGGAATTGTATTTAAAATTAAGAAAATGTATTTGAGTCTAGAACAGTCATTCTTAAAATCAAAGATTCAGAAAATACCTTCTGATATAAAATTTGGCCCCTACAGCACAACCTGCACCTGGGAGCCCTCTCCCCTGAGCCAGCTGAAGGTCCTCAGTGAGCAGAGGCAGGGGGGGGGGGGGAGGAGTTTAGATCTTGTCTTCTGACGTGTTTGATGTGTATGGCATTCTGGCATCAGGCACTGACCAGAAAGAACAATACATAGGTTTTAAGATTATCTTTGTTTTTATGTTGGTCCTGGGGCTTGAACTCAGGGATTGGACACTGTCCCTGAGCTTTTTTTTTTTCTTTTGCTACAAGCTAGTGTTTTGTCACTTGGCCCACAGCTCCACTCTGGCTTTATTCTTTTTTGGTAGTTAATTTGAGGTGAGAGTCTCAGGGACTTTCTTTCCCAGACTGGCTTAGAACCATGGTTCTCAGATCTCAGCCTCCTGAGTAGCTAGGATTACAGAAGTGAGCCATCGGTACCCCCCCCATCATTTTTAAGATTTTTGATGCATCAGAAAACAGTAAGACAATGAAAACACTGAAATTCTAACTTTGATTAGTCAACACCTGTGACACACATAGGTAAATTTACCTGGGTCATGATTTTGTAAACTTACTAAATACTGCAGTAGTTCGTTCACAGGTAGGTTAAAGAAGGGTCAGATTACCGATGAGTATGGTCAATACATTGTTCTGTGTTAATCTAATAAGATACAGGCATCCCTGGCTATCTACAGGAATGTCTTCTAAGACCCCTCTCCAACATGTAACTGCTCTGTGTTTGCCTGTGGGTACAGGTTGGGAAGGGCAGGACAAAATGTCAGAAGATTTTATCGCAGCAGGGAGCCTTCAACTCATAGATGAGGAAATGAAACACGCGGGTGATTTTCCATCCCCTCTTCTTCTCTTGACATTCTCGGGCTCGGTGGGTCAAATGAAAAAGGCAGAGGTAATATATGAAGCCACCATCTTTTAAAATCTCACCTCTAAAATAAACCTTTGCTAAACGTACCTAAAAATTAATAAGTGCTTACATCTCTCATTCATCAAAAGCTGAAAAAAAGAGATGAGTCTAAAATTGGCTTCGTTCAGTAGAGTTGAGGACAAATGGTTGACATTTTACCAGAATGAGAGCCGGAGAGCGAGCTGAGAAGTCTGTCCTGTGGGTGCGCCCCGTCGAACAGCTCTGCCAGGTCACTCAGCGCCGTCTGGAAATAGGCGAACTGCCCAAAGACCACTGGAAAAGGAAGGCGTATGCGTGAAGGAAGGGGCACACTACAAGTTCCCAGCTCCCGCGAAGACTCTTGCCCTGAGGATCATGTAATTGCGAACGTGAACTGATCTTCCCTGCCTTCTAATTTTTTAGAGATTAAATAATTTTACTTTCCTTCCTGCCTTTAAGATAAGAGGTCTTTAGGTTTTTAATAAAAGGAGACATAATCTTTTCTGCCTAATTTGAACATTAAATGAAGTATATATATTTTTAAAAGTAAATAATCGTTATTAAGATAGTGGAAGTCCACCTGTAAGGGTGTCCTGTTGTTATTAATGAAAACTGATTCCTCGAAAACATAGCCTGGCCAGGATCAAGACCTATGATGCGTTGGTGACACGCATGTTCATTTGCACTAGCATTGTGTATGGAAGAGAACCCAGCTCTCCTGAGTATCTTGCACTTTGACTTTAGAATTCCCAGGGAGAAGCTCAGGAGTCTCTCGGCAAGGTGACCTTCCCCAGCAGATAAA